AAGAATATTACAAGTTTTATTTATATAACATTATTTTATAATTAACATTATAAAATATCATTCTCTGTTAAACGATATAAGTTATACCGTTCTAAGCGTGATGTTGAATCCTGAACCATCCATAATACGAGACCCAATCGTAAATTATAATAATTTTTTCAGTCCGTACATCTGTCATCTTTGCAAAATTTCAGCAAATCTGGAAGTATGTCAATGGTGCCGTTTGATCTCTTATTGTTGTCAAGAGCACTTGGAATTGCATCGAGTGGAACACCAAGAGTTTTGTCTGGCTGTAGTAAGCTTGAGTGTCGAAATATTCAACACCCAAAATATAACTCTTAAGGAATGGAATGAATTTAAGAAGGTTAATTTGGAAAGAGTTAAGCATAAATTGGGTCGCAATCTAAAACGATATGAAGAGCAAATATTGCTATTTGCAAAATCGTGTCGTGTATGCTATCGCCAGAATGACCTGAGTGTCGTTTGCAAGTCATGCATGTCGGTTAGCATGTGTTCTACGCACAAATCGTCAGCTTATGTGCACAGCTGCGCGGAACTACGGCTTTGTATAAAACTAGATATCGAAAATGCCGTAACAAATGAAGACGATATAACAATACCGGTAGAGCTTGTAGATTATTTAAGTTTGCACGATATGAAAACACATATTCAACGTCGTTTAGGACGTCGTAGAAATTTCGAAACATGGAACTATGCTGATTTTTTATATACTGATTGCCTCTCAAAACCATTGACGTTATTGTTTTACATACAAAGAGCAAATATGTGCGATCTGAAGTTATTTTCGCGCTTCGTAATTCACATTATAGCCGGAACCTTCACGGATCAAAATAGTTTATTTGCTTGGGAAGCTTTCTTACATCAAATGATTCCTGGTTCAACATTATATATTATAATGATAGACCCATGCTTAGAACCAGATTTAACTGCTACACGGCTTTGTGAAACTTGCCACGCAGGAAACAAAGATCTTTTTTTTGTTTATCGTGATATGACATATAGAAATTATAGACGTACTGAGTCATATCTAAGTCCAGATATAATTGTAGGATTTGACATAGATTTTAAAAATGACAAAATGGCTGTTTTAACAGCATTATTGAGGCAGGAAAAATCGTTAGTTTTGACCTGCAAATCAGAAAGTAAGGCGCAAGAGATCGTTACGGAAATAGGGACAACATACTTCAAAGTACCTATCATTAATGAGAAGAATAAATTCGCATCTTGTAGACCATACAGAGATGTTGAGAGTGATTCTGTGTTCTTTCTTAATCAGCATTTAATTATGTATTTAGAGGCTGACAGATGAGAACTTAAATATTTCTAGTAAGGACAACAAACCCAGTATAAGCAACAATTTACTTGAAGAATAATTGTATCGTCACACTATTCGTCGGTCGCAACATTATAAACAATTTACAAGATAAAAGACTTTTATAAATATATTTTGGTTTTTGATTTTTTAATATTTCCTTTCCTAAGCATACTTTGCATATATGAGGTCATAATTACATAATTTTCCTTTGAATTGTTTCCTTAATAAAGTACTGGACGCGTCTTTAATGTCTATTATGTATTATACTAAATATAGTGAATATATTTTTATAAGTATTTAATAATATCGACTAACACCTACATATACATATACACACATATTCACACGCGTACGTTGACATGTTTTACGATGGGATAAAGGGCTGATAGAATATTCATTGTTTTACATAAATGTCTTTCATTGTAGGGAAGACCACATCGAGAATTCTGCATCGAACTAAACGCACGAATATATTCGCTAATATATAATGCAGCTGAGTGAATACTGCGACATGTAAGGTTTTCGTGAGGTAATGCGAAATGGACTAACTTTAAACATGTAAAGTCAAAGTTATACATTACAAGTTATTTATGAGCTATATATTTCGTGATCCGGAAGTGTACGAAATTAAATTTCGTCATTTGCAAAATCGTGTATTATTTGTCATTGACAAGATCATTTGGCTGTACAACTTAGGCATCGGAAATCGCTCTATTACGACTATTCCAATAAGGATAATTTAGTAATGTAGTAGATTGTAAATAGGTGTAAAGATAAAATATTATATATATATATATATATATATATATATATATATATATATATATATATATGTATATGTGTATATATATATTTAATTTTTGTCATATAGTTTTAAAATTTCACCCAACATACAAGGCTAATAGTTGTAATAATGGGATCAACTTCCGAGTATAACCTGGAGATGTTGCTTGAATTATTGAGGAAATTTAAAGGAAGTTGTATTAGAACATCACCATGTATTATGCTTAAGGGGGCAACTCGATTTTAATGTCTCAAAAATTAACAAATTCACGAATTTTTTTTCTTCAGAACTATGCGGGTGACAAATTCCAAACTTTGTATAGTTATTAAAACATATTTTGTTAATTTTTACAGACAGAAATAATATATTAAATCATAGTTATAATGATATGCGCGCAAACAAACTAGTTTCAATTAATTTAAAGTGTATAAACATACAATTTTTAGTCAATTTTTTAAATTTTATTTTTATACGTTTTAAATAAATTGAAAATATAGTTCATTTTGCATTTCCGTACTTCGGACGATAGCAGGAAGTCTGTAGATTAATTTTCTTACTTGCTTTTTTGTTTCACCCTGGAGAGACACGCAATCGTGGTGATCATGAAAATCCATAACTTACGCGCATGTCATTATAACTATGATTTCATATATTATTTCTGCTGGTAAAAATTAGAAAGTTTTAACAAAGTACGTCTTAATAACCATACAAAGATTGGGATTTGTCGCCCGCATATTTTCAGAAAAAAAGATTCGTAAGAAGTGCTAATTTGTGAGACCTCAAAATCGAGTTGCCTCCTTAATCAACTGTGTCTATAATTTTTTAAAGTTTATTTATAACAATTTTTTTGTAAAATTTATTTATAACGATTTTTTTTGTAATAATTATAGCACAGAAAACAAAAAATTTTATAATGTAACCACAAAATTTGTAAAAAAACAAAATTTTTGCAATATTTTAAGGTTTGGTTGATACTATTACGATTGGTACTCATCCAGTAACATTCATTTATACTGATATTATAATCCTGGTAAATATTATGACCGTTATTTTTAATCATATACTAAGAAACTATAGAAAACCTGCAAAACACAAAATTTTGGGAAAAAACAGCGCCATCTTTCATGAAAAACGCGTCTCTAATGTCTATTATGTATTATACTGAATATAGTGAATATATTTTCATAAGTATTTAATAATATTTAATAATACGGACTGACACCTACATATACATATACACACATATTCACACGTGTACGTTGCACGATTGCGAGAGGATAAAGAGCTGATAGAATATTCATTGTGTCACATAAACGTCTTTCATTGTAAGGAGGTCCATATCGAGAATGCTGCGTCAAACGAAACGCACGAACATATTCGTTAAAATATAATGCAGCTGAATACTACGACATGTAAGATTCTCGTGACATAATGCGAAATGAACCAACTTTAAACAAGAAAAAGTCAAAGTTATACATTACAAGTTATGTACGAGCTATATGTCTCGTGACCTGAAAGTGTACGAAATCAAATATCCTCATTTGCAAAATCATGTATTACTTGTCGCTGACAGTATTATCTGGCTGCACGACTTCGGCATCGGAAATCTCTTTATTACGACTAATTCAATAAAGATAATTTAGAAATATAGTAGATTATAAATAAATATAGAGATTCAATGTTATATGTGCATTTATATGTTATATTTATATGTTATATATATTTATGTATTGTTATATTGTGATATATATTTATATATATTCATATATCATACATATATATGCATGTATATACATATGTATATGTAGTTTTCATCGTAAATAGTTATATCATATAGTTGTAAAACTTCCTGATACATGCCAGAACATTTATGAATTTTTGATCGATCTCTTCTGTAGGGAAAACAATTCTGATGAATAAGCTTTTCTTTCCATATTTTTATAAATTAAAGAGGCGGTTTTACCGTAGAATGTGTGGATTCTGTGTATCACACGTATTTCTAAGGACCACTTGACAATACTTTCTAGATGTAAGCTTTAATATAAATAAACTATTATATGCCTTTTTGATATATGCATCAAACAAATTTATGAAATTCTACTCGAGCAGAAATATCTATTATATTTGCAAAGTCAAATCAGATCGTTAAGGCGAGAACTCCATCTAAATGAGCCGAAAAATAGGCAGTTTTTAGGGATTACATAAAAACTATTCGATGAATCTTTTTGAAACTTTTAGTTTATTTATATGCACATTCAAAGAATTAGAAAACATTTTCTTTGAGCAATAGTAATGGATATTTTTATAGTTAATAAAGGTCGATGTCGGAGGCCTCATTTTTGACGAGGTGAATTTGCGTGCATTCCAGCGAACTTAGTTTTAATTTAATAACAAAAACCCTAAAAGATTTGTTCTTTTTTGATAAAAATCACACGGAATGAACATGAATTTGTTAAAAAAAATTGGAAATTTAGTGAAAATAAACGATTTCAAAAGAAAACGTTCAAATTTTACGGAAAATTTTCATTTTCATTGTTTAAGAAAAGTTGTTTAAGTAAATAAAAATTAATTAGATATAGAGATTCATCCTATTAAAAAAGTAATAATGTACATGCACGCATAAGCACAACGTAATTGGTTGAATAGTTTTTGAGTTTTGATGTACGCAAGTTGCGAAAAAGTTGTTCTGAGAAAAACGTTCAAGTGAGCGAAGCAAATAAATAACAGTTTATGGAAAGTCACTGCTCTTTTTGACTATTCTGCAATTCCAGCTCCAAATAACAGGCCCTCGATAAATTAGTTTTCTGGAATTTTTTTCTGTTTACGAGCTATTTGAGCATCCTTTGTGCTGCTAGGATATTGGCGCTCCTGTCTGCTCAATCGCTTGCCGTCCAATAAATCGGCGTAAATTTTGCATTACTAAACAATTTTAAGTTCTAAAACATCCATTATTTTTAGCACTGCAGAATAACCCTTCTTAAATATGCTAGTAGCAATATAAGCAGCTATACTATTATTTTAGTGCCAACATGTAAGTGTTTGGGAACTAGTCGCCAGATCATTGCATTTAGATTCTTATTAGCATTCTGTATATATTCTTTCAAGCACCTCTCATCCACTGAGAAAGGTTAAAGTTTATTGTACAAAAGGGATTAAGTCGAGAAACGGGAGGGATCCAAGAAGCGCCGAACAGTTCCTTTATTTAAGCGCGTTGCAGGTATAAACGTGTACGTAGTGTCACTAATACTTCGAAATGGACTCTAAAATTTTAGGATTATATTATCCCTATAACAAGAATTCAAGCGGAATTTTAAGCGGCAAAATAATCGACTTTTCCGACCAGTTACATAGAATTCTCTCTTTAATACTTTCTAACGCACGCAGAAACACTTATAATTCTTTCATTATTCTGGAAATAAAAAAGTGCAGAAAGAAGTGACAAAAACAGTGAATAGAAGTAAACTTTTCCCATTTCATTTCAAAAGAATTTGATACTCTTATATTACTCCTTTTGCATTCGTCCATATTTTTATATATTTTCTCCGTACTTTTTACCACTCTTTTTCTTTCTCTTAAGATTATAGCGTTCGTGAAATCGTGTTATTTCATCCACACAGAAAATATTTCCTATACTTCCCGCTGCTGTTTGACACATTGACTATAAAATTCTATAACAATTTTTTGTATAATATTCTCCTCACGTTATCATTATAATACAAACCCAAAATTACATACCAAAGACCTAATTTAAAACAATGTCTTCGAAGTATTGGTTACATTGCAAATTAAAATCAAAGAAAATTATTGGTTAGCGTCATACATTTTATCTCAGTTATAAAATATTTATAACACTAAATGTTATTATAAGATATAACGTAGATTTTATATATACATATGAACACAAGTATATATAATAAATTAATATATATATTATATATTATAATAAATAAATAAATAAATATATATATATACATTTATTTATTTAAAGTATTCTTATTCAAAGTATTCCATTTCTGCCAACAAATTCGTATAATACGTTATATTTCTGAATACAAATACAATTGACCTTATGATACCCGCACAAACACTTGTAAATATATTATTAGTGTTACAATTAGTGTTGTAATAATATTATTAGTGTTTCGCAAACGGTCGCACGATCAACATATATATTCAAGCTACAATTAATAACAATATAAGTTGTACCGTTCTAAGCGTGATGTTGAATCCTGAACCACGGATAATACGAGACCCAATCGTAAATTATAATAATTTTTTCAATCCGTACATCTGTCATGTTTGCAAATTTCCAGAGGTCCTGGAAGTATGTCATTGGTGCCGTTTGATCTCTTATTGCTGCAAAGAGCACTTGCAATTGCATCGAGTGGAACACCAAGAGTTTTGTCTGGCTGTAGTAAGCTTGAGTGTCGAAGTATTCAACAACCAAAATATAACTCTTAAGGAATGGAATGAATTTAACAAGGTTAATTTGGAAAGAGTTAAGGATAAATTGGGTCGCAATCTAAAACGATATGAAGAGCAAATATTCCTATTTGCAAAATCGTGTCGTAAATGCCACCGCCAGAATGACCTGAGTCTCGTTTGCAACACATGCAAGTCGGTCAGCATGTGTTCTACGCACAACTCAACTCCTTATCTGCACAACTGCGCGAAACTACAGCTTTGTACAAGACTGGATATCGAAAATGCCGTAATAAATGAAGACGATATACCAATGCCGAGAAGGCTTGTACGTTATAGAAATTTGCGCAATATGAAAACATATATTCGACGTGGTTTAGGACGTAGTAGTGATTTCGAAACATGGGAATATGCTGATTTTTTATATACTGATTGTCTCTCAAAACCATTGACGTTATTGTATTACATACAAGAAGATAATATATACAATCTGAAGTCATGTAGGAACTGGAGAATTCACGTTATAGCCGGAACCTTCGTGGGTAGAAATAATTTATTGGCTTGGGAAGTCTTCTTACATCAAATGATTCCTGATTCAAAATTATATATTATAATGGTAGGACCACACTTAGAAGACGGTTTAGAGACTATACAGCATTGTCGAACTTGCCGCGAACAAAACAAAGAAGTTTTTTTTCGTTATCGTAGTATGACATATAGAAATTATAGACGTTCTAGGTCATATCTAAGAAATAGGCCAGATATAATTGTTGGATTTGACGTAGATTTTAAGGATAACGAAATGTCTATTGTAGCAGCATTATTGAGTCAGGACATCCCGTTATTTTTTACCTGCAAATCAGAAAGTAAGGCGGAAGAGATCGTTACGGAAATAGGGGCAACATACTTCAAAGTTCCTGTCATTTATGGTTTGAATAAATTCGCATCTTGTAGACCATATAGAGATGTTGAGAGTGATTCTCCGTTATTTCTTCATAAGTATTTAATTATGTATTTAGAGAACAACTCAGAACTGTCAGAATAGTCAGAATAAGAACTTAGATATTTCTAGTAATGACATCAAACCTAGTATAAGGAGCAATTTATTTGAAGAATAATTGTACCGTCACACCATTCGTCGATCGCATCATTATAAACAATTTACAAGGTAAAAGACTTTTATAAATATATTTTGGTTTTTGATTTTTTAATATTTCCTTTCCTAAGCATACTTTGCATATATGAGGTCATAATTACATAATTTTCCTTTCAATTGTTTCCTTAATAAAGTACTGGACGCGTCTTTAATGTCTATTATGTATTATACTGAATATAGTGAATATATTTTTATAAGTATTTAATAATACAGACTAACACCTACATATACATATACACACATATTCACACGCGTACGTTAACATGTTTTACGAGGGGGTGAAAGGGCTGATAGAATATTCATTGTTTTACATAAATGTCTTTCATTGTAGGGACGACCACATCGAGAATGCTACATCAAACTAAACGCATGAACATATTCGCTAATATATAATGCAGCTGAGTGAATACTGCGACATGTAAGGTTCTCGTGATGTAATGCGAAATGGACTAACTTTAAACATGAAAAAGTCAAAGTTATACATTACAAGTTATTTATGAGCTGTATATTTCGTGATCCGGAAGTATACAAAATCAAATTTCTTTATTTGCAAAATCGTATATTATTTGTCTTTGACAAGATCATTTGGTTGCACAACTTAGGCATCGGTAATTGTTCTATTAGGACTATTCCAATAAGGATAATTTAGTAATGTAGTAGATTGTTAATAGGTGTAAAGATAAAATATTATATATGTATGTATGTGTATATATATATTTAATTTTTATCATATAGTTTTAAAACTGTATCATATACAGCTGTAAAACTTCCAGGTATATAATATTTTATTAGTGCCTCGCGATAATATATAGTATTTTATTAGTGCGATAATCGCCAATTCGACATCTGTACTGAATGCCAATTGTCATACGTATAAATATAAACACAGATTTCGAATGTTTGTCTCTTCTGCGCGCTATTCTAGATTAATATTACTAAATATATCCTACTTCTAAACGTTAGTAACGCGAACAAATTTTAGATATTATGTTGATATTTGAACTGCTCACAGAGCAATTTTTGTTTGTATACAATATAATAAATTAAATATAAATACAATATAATAATTTTTGTTTGTATTACAATATAATAAATTTTCCTCTTACGTATGCAAATCTATATCAGCTTTTATGTAGTATTTTCGGCGTGATATGATTTCGTATTACAACGTAAGGAGCACAGTTTAAAGCATCGAACGAGGCATATCAAAGTATGTATAACAAGATTATAATAATATATATATATATATATATATATATATATATATATATTTATTGCAATTATGCTTATAAGATGTATTCTATTTCGGCCAACAAATATGCATCGTACGTTATATTTCTGATTACAAATACAATTGACCTTACGATACACGTAAAAACGCTTCTAAGGATATTATTAGTGTTTTTCAAACAGTAGCAGGATTAACATATATACTCAAGTCACATTTCCCTTATATTCGTACAGTGTCAAGCAAAAGTATTACAAGTTTTATTTATAAAACATTATTTTGTAATTAACATTATAAAATATCATTTTCTGTACGTCAGTTATACCGGTCTAAGAGTGATGTCGAATCCTGGATTATCCACAATACGAGACGCAATTGTAAATTATAATAATTTTTTCAATCCGTACATCTGTCATGTTTGCAAAATTTCAGAGAACCTGCAAGTATGTCATTGGTGCCGTTTGATCTCTTATTGCTGCAAGGAGCACTTGCAGTTGCATCGAGAGCAACACAAAGAGTTTTGTCTGGCTATACTAAGCCTGAGTAACGAAATATACTACTCCCATAATATGACGCTTAAGGAATGGACTGAATTCAAGAAAGCTAATGTGAGAAGAGTTAAACATAAACTTGGTCGCGATCTAGAGCCATATGAAGAGCAAATATTGCTATTTGCAAAATCGTGTCTCATATGCCGTCGCCAGAATGACCTGAGGGTCGTTTGCAAGTCATGCATGTCGGTTAGCATGTGTTCTACGCACAAATCGACTGCTTATGTGCACAACTGCAAGGGCCTACTGCTTTGTACAAGACTGGATATAGAGAATGCCGTAACAAGTGAACAGAATGTACCAAAGATTTTAAGTTATGAATATTTGAAAACATATCTTCCACATCGTTTAGGATGTATTAGTGATTTTGATACTTGGAGCAATGTTGATTTTTTATATACCAATTACTTGTCAAGACCTATGACGTTGTTATCTAACATGACGAGAGCAGGTATACACGAACTGACATCTTCTGCAATCTTTACAATTCACGTTATAGCCGGAAGCTTCACGGATCAAAATAGTCTATTGGCTTGGGAATTCCTTTTACATCAAATGATTCCTTGGTCGTCATTAATTGTTGACATGACAGAGTCAAAATTAGAAAATAATCTTTATGATATACCGCTTTGTCAAACTTGCTGTACTCAAAACAAAGACATTTTTTTTGATTATTTCCCTATGACATACAATCATTATATATTCACTGAGAATTATTCAGAACCAAATATATTTATTGGATTTGACATAGATTTTGAGGATGATAAAACGGCTATCCAAGCAGCATTAATGTATAAGCACATACCGTTAATTTTGACCTGCAAATCAGAAAGTAGGGCTCAACAAATCGTTACGGAAGTAAGAACAACTTTGAGCAAAGAGCCTGTCATTAATAAGAAGAATATATTCGCATCTTGTAGACCATATAGAGATGATGAGAGTGATTCTGTGTTTTTTCAACACCAGTATGTAATTGTCTATAACGAAGAAGCTTACAAAAGGAGAAATTTAGGTACTTCTAGCAATCACAACCAATTCAGCACCAGCATCAATTTATTTCAAGAATAATTGTACCGTCATACTGGTTGTATCATTATAAACTATATACAAGGTAGAAGTTTTTATAAATTTAATTTTTTCTGATTTTTTTAATATTTTCTTTTCTAAGCATACTTTACGCACATAGAGATCGTAATAACATTGCACTCCTTTTAATGGTTTCCTTAAAAAAATGCTCGGCGCGTCTTTAATGTCTATTATGTACCATACTGGAGATACTGAATATATTTTCAAAAGTACCTAATAATACGGACTAACACCCACATATACATACACACACATATACATATACGCGTGTCGAGATGTTGCGAGAGAATAAAGAGCTGATGGAATGTTTATCGTGCTACATAATTGTTTTTCATTGTAGGGAAGTCCACATCAAGAATGCTGTATCAAACGAAACGCATAAATAAATCTGACAATATATAATGCAGCTGAGTAAATCCTGGAACACGTAATGTTTTTGTGATATAATGCGAAATGGGTTAACTTCAAACAAGAGGAGGTCAAATTTATACATTACAAGTTAATTATGAGCTCTATGTTTCGTGACCGAGAAGTGTACGAAATCAAGTATCTTTATTTGCAAAATCGTGTATTATTTGTCGTTAACAGAATCACCTGACTGCACGACTCCGGCATCGGGAACCTCTCTATTACGACTATTCCAATAAGGATCATTTAGTAATATACTAAATTATAAATAGATACAGAGATAAGATACTATATATGTATATACATAATATTTGTTATATATAATTGAAAAATTATATACTATATCATACATAATTGTAAAACTTCCAGATATACGCTAGAACATTGGTGAATATTTTATTAGTACCATCGACAGTCGCCGAGTCATCTGTACTGAATGCCAATTGTCCACTGAGTACAAATTGTCATACATGAATATAAACACAGATGTTTCGAGCGTTTGTCTCTTTTGCTCTAGAGCAAACTCCGTTCTAGAGTAATATTACAAAATATCTTCCAAATGTTTTATTAAATTATGCGGACATATTTTAGATATTATGTCGACATTTGGACTGTTTACACTGCAATTTGTCTGTACAATAATAAATTTTTCTATTCTAACGTTTGCCACGTATGCAAATCTATAAGCTTTCATGAAATACTTAAGATGTAGTATAATTTCTAATTACAGCAAGGAGCACAGATTAATGCATTGATACACCCACAATGTTTTCACATATGAAAGCAATCGATATATTCCCGATAATCTTTAGAGTATAAGTATGTGAGATGTATAAGATATGCAATATTTTAACCAGAGATTTGCAACGTGATAGAAACATATTTTTTTGGTTGGTTATTACGAATATTTTAAATACTTTTCTATATTGTTGGCATTGTTTAATGGAATTTTATAAGCGAATTTATTACATGATCTGCAGCCTCCACACGATTTTTTATACTTCATCTTATAGTATCTGAAAGTTTTATACATGTACATAGTTTAGTAGCTTGGGAAAGCATTTTGTATGAATTTCTGTCAGAAATGCAATTACATTTTTCATTACGGTTATATTTTCCGAGGTATTTTAATTGGAAACATTATCGTCGCAAAAACCCCGGAAAAGCTTCTTGGTAGCGCCGTATGCCATGAACACAGTCACATCTCGGTCTCGGTCTGTCATTCTCGAATCTATCATTCTCGAAACTCGTCATTATGTAGTTGGCGTCGCGATGCTACCGCGTCGTTTGATGAACTCTACAGAATTTTTATTGACTGTGCTCGGAGGAAGAATTGTAGCCAATATGTAAATACATACCACCCGATTATACGCTGAAGCATATTTGATAATAATGAATCATGTTGGATTATTTTACTGATTTCACATATTTTAATTGAGTTATATTTTTATAATTTTTTAGATAAAAATGTTTTGTTAGGTTGCTTTTTTACACAACTATTTATAGAGATTTTTAATTGGGGTTTTTGTTAGGTTTTTTATAAAGGGTTTTGCTAAGTGCAATTTATTCATCTTTATGTACTTGGCGTATTCTTTATATTTGTAAGGTCTTCTTGTTTTTATGATATCACAGCTTTTTGCATGAATTAAGAAAATCTTATTATGTTTGTTCTGCGAAGAGTATTATAAAAAAGAATTCTGCAAAATATAATTATGAAGAAATATAATTCTGAAGTATGTTTGATGGTCCACTAAATATATTAATATCATTTTGCGACGAGAAACATTCTGCTGCGCGTGTCAAACATACTTCAACTTGTCGTTTGATGAACTCCACAGAATTTTTATTGACTGTGCTCGAAGGAAGAATTGTAGCCAATATGTAAATACATACCATCCGATATACGCTGAAGCTACTGACAGTGTATTTTCGGAGGCAACAAATGATTCCACTGAGTGCACAATCGCAGACAAAAAAGTTGTTCGTAATTCTTGCGATGAGTTTGTAAATTTTTCGTCTTGTCTAATGTCCGTTGGTTAATTGGACAAAATTAACAGGTAACCTGTTAGTGAGATTTTTACCGAAATTTGTGGTCGAGATGCCTAAACACTCGAAGTAGAAACATAGGAGACATTGCTCTAGACGGATTCACAGATCTGAAGACAGATCTGAGTTCACGAGAGCGCAGTGGCGTGGTTAGGTCACGCGATTCTTCACGGGACAGGTCTCCTTTTCCTTTATCTCACCGGGATGAGTTAACTTTTACTTTAAAAGAAATTTTCGCCTTTATGGAGAAGCAGAATGCTCAGAAAATTCCCGATGTTATTGACTCGAGGCGTAAACCTGAGGAGGATACGAGAGATATTCATTCTTCCCTGGAAGACGATGCTGAATGCGTTTATCCAGAGGTTTCATTGCAGGCAGATGAGCAGACGGTTCTCAAGAACCGGGACGGCGAACCGTCCCTTCGTTCAGGCAAAGAAGGAACATAACCGATTGCTTCATCTGACCATGCCTCTTTTATATTTCTTTTTTCTAGCTGGACAACGATCGCCTATTGTTTTATTTTCTGACCTATCACAGATAATTTATGAGCAGATTAGTGGTAATATGGAAAATGATCACTCGTTCCTTTTGGAAAACAGCCAGAATCGAGCGATTTGTCTTGAGATCCTATTATATTTAAATCCATCAAATGTGAGGTTTGATCTGGCTTGAAGGAAGAAATACATTTAGATCTTTTATCTAAACATGAAATTAAAGAAGACCTGACATATTTGGGTTCTCTTAAAATTAATAAAAAGGTTTTATCAGCACGTTCGAGACACCAGAGCATCTTGAAACGGGATGATTACCAGGCGAAAGCTCAATTACAAGTTGGGACTTGTCTTAATGCTTTTGGCGCCGGAATTTCTGATTTATTGAAGTATCAGCAGAGTCAACTTACAGATGGCGTTTTAAAAGAGGCTATCATGAAGTTGGCACAAGAGATACATCTATTAGCTGATCATCAGTATCACCTATCACCTGCAAGACAGGCAGTGATAAAATCATGTCTTACTTTCGTTGATAAATCGCCCGCTAATGTTGCTTCTATAGATGAATGACTGTTTGGTTTGACTTTTGCCGATAATCTTAAGTCGGTTCAGATATATGAAAGGCGGCTCGAGATTTTACCAGATAAATATCAGGCCAGGAAGATGACAACTAAACCTATATACCAAGCAGTTCTTCAGTAACAAGGTCAGCAATTTCCTACACGGAAGGGAAACTTTAAGAAAGAAGTAAAAACGACAGGAAGGTTATGCCGATATTTGCCTTTGTGGTTAAAGTTAACCCACGCCCCCGTAGTGTTCGTGGTTATGGTATTCCTTTTTCATCTTTACCATCATCTCGCGTCTTTTTATCAAAGCCTGTTTTTTCTGCAACACTCAATGAAGCCTGTGATAAAGAAATATCTCGCTTGATGTCTAAAGGAGCAATGGTGACTACCACTCCTTCTGCAGATCAGTTCTTGTCGCGTTTTTTCCTGATTGAAAAGTCATCTGGAGGAATGCGCTTCATTTTAGACTTTAGAGACTTAAATCGTTTTTTATCACCACCACATTTCCAATTGGAAGATTGGCGCATTTCAGTTGATGACACAAGGTTCACGGATGGCAACACTAGATTTAGAGGATGCATATTTGCTTATTCCGATCTCTCGCAAATGTCGCCGTATCCTTCGTTTTCAATGGCGTAAGATCACTTATGAATTTACAGCCTTATCATTTGGGCTACCTATATATTTACGAAGATCCTACAACCGGTGGTAGCTCATTTGAGAAAGGGGTTTTTGCTATATTGTTTATTTAGATGATTTCCTCCTTTTCGGTTCATCGCGAGAAGATTGTCTACGAAACCTCGATTCCTTTCTGAATCTCGTTTCGTCTCTTAGTTTCCTTGTTAATTTTTCAAAATCACATTATTCCTAGACAAAATTATAAATACCTAGGTATTATTCTCAATTCAATAACTTAGTCAATTGCAATTCCTCCAAAGCGTCGTAATGCACTACTTAAAATGATTTCGATCTTTTCCAAACAAACCAGATGTCGTATACCAGAATTTGAGAGTATGCTTGGCTCCTTGATTTCTATCTGTCCTACGATCTACGGATTTCTACGGTCTTTTTCATACGAGAAATTTTGAAAGAGAAAAATTTCTTTATAACGATCTTTATAACGATATGCTCATTAGAATAGATAATACAACTACGATTGCATATATCAATCGCTTTACTTTTACTCAATTCCCTCATCTATCAGCAATAGAAATTGATCTGGAATTGGTGTGCACATTGCAATATTGTTCTTTTTGCATTCTTTACAGCTTCTATTGACAATTCTATCGCAGATCGTGAATCTAGGGTTATCAGCATTGATACTGAATGGTCTCTATCATTAACATAAGTTGCTTTTTCTAGAATTTCGATGGAGTTCGGTCCATTTGACATTGAGTTATTTGCTTCAATCCTTAGTGCGAAATGTAAAGCGTATGTTTCTTGGTTCGCAGATCCAAGTTCAATAGCTGTGGACGCATTTACCCTTTCTTGGTCAGATATAAACTTCTTTGCCTTTCTACCTTTCATATTATTACCTCGTGTTCTTAGATAAATCGTAAACGACAATTAAATTATACTGTATATTATGTGTGTAGTTCTCCTGTACAATAGAAATATATCTATACCATATTCGTAATAATTGCACTCTGTGAAAAAATATACGACACTCTTATCATTTCTTGTTGTACGGTATGACATACAATGTGAATCATTCAAAGTATAAGGTATGAGGTAGATGTTTTTCATAGATCTTTTCTATCTGTAGGGAAAATAATTTTGACGAATACATTTTTCTTTTCATAATTTTACAAATTAAAAATGCATTTAGGCGGTTTTACTGTAGAACATGTGAATTTCGTATATCACACGTATTTCACTAAGGCACACTTCACAATACTTTCTAGATGTAAACTTTAAATGAACCGTTATGTGCCTTTTTGAAATATACTTCAAATAAATTTATGAAATTCTACTCTACCAGAAATATCCGTTACATTTGCAAAGTCAAATCAGGTTGTTAATTTTTTTCTGATGCACGCAGAAACATTTGTAAATCTTTTATTACTCTGGCAGAAATAAAAAGTGCAGAAAGAAGTGAGAAAAACAGTGAGTAGAAATAACCATTTCCCACTTCAATTCAAAAGAATTTAGTACCGTCCTACATTTTATCTCTGTTATAAAATGCTTATGTGACTAAGTATTATTGTAAGATATAACACAGATTTTATATATATATATATATATATATATATATATATATATATATATAC